GCGATTGAAGAGGCATTCTTTCTCACCTCTGCTTCCTTTGTTGTTGTTGTTGTTGTTTAGTAATTTAGTCGTGTCCAACTCTTTGTGACCCCATGGACCAGAGCATGCCAGGCACTCCTGTCTTCCACTGCCTCCCGCAGTTTGGTCAAACTCATGCTGGTAGCTTCGACAAGACTGTCCAACCACATCAGGGTCTTTTCAAGGGAGTCTTCTCTTCTCATGAGGTGGCCAAAGTATTGGAGCCTCAGCTTCACGATCTGTCCTTCCAGTGAGCACTCAGAGCCGATTTCCTTAAGAATGGATAGGTTTGATCTTTTTGCAGTCCATGGGACTCTCAAGAGTCTCCTCCAGCACCATAATTCAAAAGCATCAATTCTTCGTCGATCAGCCTTCATTATGGTCCAGCTCTCACTTTCATACATCACTACTGGGAAAACCATAGCTTTAATTATACGGACCTTCGTCGGCAAGGTGATGTCTCTGCTTTTTAAGATGCTGTCTAGGTTTGTCTTTGCTTTTCTCCCAAGAAGCAGGTGTCTTTTAATTTCATGACTGCTGTCACCATCTGCAGTGATCATGGAGCCCAAGAAAGTAAAATCTCTCACTGCCTCCATTTCTTCCCCTTCTATTTGCCAGGAGGTGATGGGCCCAGTGGCCGTGATCTTCATTTTTTTGATGTTGAGCTTCAGACCATATTTTGCGCTCTCCTCTTTCACCCTCATTAAAAGGTTCTTTAATTCCTCCTCACTTTCTGCCATCAAGGTTGCGTCATCTGCATATCTGAGTTTGTTGATTTGTAACTCAAGTTATCAGAAGCTGGACTTGGGAGCTTCTACATGCGGAGTGTGTACTCTAGCCCTGCCTTCATTCTCATGGCACAGGGTCTCGGGTTTTGCATGCAAACACCTTCCAACTTGAACACCAAGCTTACTTCTGAAAGTCAATGCTGCTGTCTCTTAAAGCTCTTCTCCTCGAGCCTTTATAATTATGAGTTTAATATTGGAAATTGGTTGATTTCGTATTTGTATGCATACGTCCCAACTCCAATTAATTCATTTTAATTGCATACACCAATTACAACATCAGACTCATTTTCCAACATATTATTCCTCACTGATTACATATCCTCAAAGATTGCTTTAATATTTTATTGGCCGCCTTAAAGTCAAATAATAATATGTACTTCTAATTAAGCTAACTTACGTATCTCGCTGCTGATTAAAACCACTATTTAATATTTTATATCGCAAGCCCCCTTTAATTCCCTCACACACCATGTGGAGCAACTCTTCCCTCAACTTGGCCTGACAGGCCTTTCCATTGTCAGTGTACACTGCTGGGTTGGTATGTCACGTTTGCTCAGGGTATGATCGCGTTTCTCTCACAGGGAAGTTTCAAGGAAGCACCTCGTTGGCAGAAACGGTAAGGGGGGAAGCTTGACGAAAGTGACGGCAAAGAGCTTTTTGACCAGTTTCCATAGAAAAAGATTGACAACGTTTGGGCAAAAGATCAATCTGCAAGACGAGAAGCAGGTGCAAATGCAGTCTCCTCCAGATATCCTGTTTATCGTGCATTCATAATTATTTGTGCTCATGGTTGTGTTGGCGCTGGCTTTCAATACAGTTTGCCCCTGCAATTTGGGGGGATGAGAAATATGGTGGTTTGTTTCCAGTCAGTGCTTGTCCCAAAACTTACTGCTGGAATCCTACAACTTCTTCTGCCTCAGATGTTCCATTTTGCTTGGTTTTGCCATCCCACTTTTGTTGCACTATAGTGTATTTCTGTGGCCCGGTGCTTTCAGCTCTTTTTTGGAAGAGCGCCCCTCATGGTGTGTTTTTTCCATTCTGCTGTACTGGTGTTGTTCGCTCTGCTCTTCTATCCTGGCACTCTTCCTAACTTCTGTCTTTTTAAAAAAAAAACATTTTATTTTTCATTTTTTTAAACATTGTTCTTATACATTTAAATCATTTTCACTTTTTTACACATCTGAGATTACTTGAATCCCCGGACTCCCCACCCCCACCCCGGTTTCCAATATTTATCTATTCTTTTACTGCATCTAATTACATTTATCAAATTCATTTTATATCCATTTTTAACTTTAGTCTTATTACATTATAAGTGTTATAACAACCCTGCTAATGTTTTTAGATATCTACAGCGATCTTTAAGGTACTCTATACATTTTTCCCACTCTTTACTAAATTTCTTATCCTCTTGGTGTCTAATCTACACAGTCATTTTTGCCATTTCGGCATAGTCCATCATCTTGGTTATCCATTCTTCCTTGGTTGGGACATTCTCTTCCTTCCATTTCTGGGCAAAAAGCATTCTTGTGGCTGTCAATGCATACATAAACAGTCTTTTCAAGCCCTTTGGTATTTCATCTCCTATCATTCCTAATAAGAAAGCTTCTGGGTTTTTGACAAAAGTGATCTTAAACATTTTCCTATCTTCTGTCTCTAATGTCGATCCTCTTCTGTTGCTCCATGGCCGAATGCAGTGCTGAGCAGAGGGCCGGCCATCTTTTATGGTGTGGGTGTGGGCTGGGGTGAAAACCGCTGTAAGTCCAGTCTTCTCCCAAGCCTTGCCGCCTAGGCCTAGCCAGGTTGGACAAATTCAGAAGGGAAGTTAGGTGGGAACCCCCACAGTGCCTTGAGGCCAACCCAGGGATTTCCAACTGTCAGCCACATAATATAGCTTGTTCCAAGGGGTTGTAGGGCCGGACGCGGTGGACCGTAACCTGCTGCGAGCCTGAAGGGCCCTGCCCTGCCTCTCTCTACCTAGCTTGGGGTGGGGCCTGCCAGTCTCCACAATGACTGCTTCTCAACAGAGAGGGCTTCTTTTTCAAATTGTTTATATTGTTTATCTATGTCATTTTAAATTGTAATTGATATTAATGTTGCCTTTTTAGTTTTAGGTTTTATTATTGATGTGGAAATTGTTTTCCATTTGGTTGTGTAGCTTTTGATGTGTTTTATTTATTGTTTATGACTTTTGTTATGTGGATAATTATGTACCATGTTTTTCGCTCCAGACCACAAGATGCACCTAGTTTTTGGAGGAGGAAAACAAGAAAAAAAATATTCTGAATCTCAGAAGCCAGAACAGCAAGAGGGATCGCTGCGCAGTGAAAGCATCAATCCCTCTTGCTGTTCCGGCTTCTGGGAAAGCTGCGCAGCCTGCATTCACTCCATAAGAAGCACACACATTTCCCCTTACTTTTTAGGAGGGAAAAAGTGAATCTTAAAGAGCAAAAAATATGGTAAATCTTGTCATGTTGTAAGCCGCCTTGAGCATTGCTTTATCTATGAATGGCTGCATACAAATAAAATGATGATGATGATGATGATGATGATGATGAACCGCCACCCACCCCAGACTGTGTAAGCAGCCATTTCTGCCCTTCTAAGCACCCTAACTTTCGGGAAGCATCATGGAACAACTAAGAAAGTGGAATGGGGTGTCGAACTAACACACCATTATTGCATTAAGGACATGTTGCAGAATGTACCTGCTTGGGAAATTGTAGCCTTTGGGATCGCTGCAGGTCATGTTCTTCACTGGGTGCCTGACTCTTTCCAGCAGAACTGCGATGAGCAAGGCTTCAGCTATAAAAGCTGAGGAATCACTGTCATTTCTGCTTTGAAGCTGGCTGCCAACACAAGTGATTCACAGCCAACATACACGGTATTTTCTTTTCCCAGGTCTTCAGTATCGGAGCTACAGTACTAATGCGTCAATATCCCTGGGGAAGGCTAGCAAGTGAAGGATTAGCCCTCGGCTCTCACCCACTTTCAGATCCGTAGCCCCTGGAAGCAATGCTCATGTAGGAATTTGCTAGCAGGTGAGGTCCATGTGCTACAGCTTTGTACTTTCAATATTTGGGGCATGAAACAGCTTCCAGAAGTGGAAATACAAAAGAGCCTTCGGTTCACATAGGCCTTGGGGGGAGGTTGGTGAATCAGCATGGCCATTTGGGACACTGTTTGTGGATTACTTTGAAGTGCTGGATTTTGCTTCCGTATACTGATTATATGGATGGCTTTTAACTCTGTTTGTTGATTTGAAGTTTTGGCATGTTTTTGGTTTTGTTTAGCGTGTAAACTTCACTCAACTAAGGGATTTGCACTAAAATGCCAGAGATATTCCACAATGACTTTTCCTTTTTTTAAAAAAGAAAGAAAAAGCAAATGGATGTGGAATTGTGCAGTACCAAACTGAAGACTAGGAAAATGAGAGAAACTGAAATTGACAGATTCACTCATCTCTAGGATGGGCAAGGAGAAACTTAAGGGACTGTGAGGCAGTTCCTGGCACTGAAGGCCAAAGCAAAACGTCTGAAGATAGAGTAAAAGAGACGGGAAGGGAGAAGTGCATAAATGTAAAATGTGAGAGAAACGTGCCTCAGGTCCATTCCTCTTCCTCACATGCATTTCCAAGTGACATTCTTTGTTATCATTCTCTATAACCCTTAAAAAGCTTCCATTGCAATGAAAACTGCCCATTTCGTGGGAGATACGTTTGCCGTATGAATAATAAATATTGTTTTGAACGATGTTGCATGGACAAGTCATGCAGACACAGAGTAACCTCGCTAGCAATCCAAAAATAACTTGCTGATAACATTCTGAGCAGAAGGTAGAAGAGCAGCCATGTTGTATTGCTATTCTGCAGGGGGAAATGTGACAGTCCAGAGTGTCACTGGAGATGTTTATTTTGCTCGTGTTATGGGTGGCCTGTGATGTTAGCCGCTGGTTGTGAACAAACACTCCCTTTCCCCTCAAGAAAATTTGCTGGTCTTATTGATCTTTCCCCCCTGTCAAAACCAATCAGATGTGCTGCCCAAAGAAGAACCTCCCAAATTTACTTCAAATGTCACTATATGGGAGCCAGATCACTATGTTGCCATATAAAACAAAGAAAAACAAAGACACCAGAATGCCTATATTACGCAAATCCAATTGAAAAAACACATAGACATAATAGGCTATATGATAACAATTGCAAAGTTATTTACTAGAAACTACTTCTCGAAAATTAGATACCGCTTCTCATAGCGTCAAAATCAACATCGTGACATAATATATTGAAATGTAGCTTATTCGGCTGACAACCAAATCTAGTATGTACAAAATACAAATCCTATTTGTCAGTGCCGTAATACATTCATTTCTAATTTCTTCATCTTCTCTTGTATTTTTCTGTCTGACGTATTCCTTAGAAGAGTGACATGAAATAATCTTCTAAGTGTCTAATGAAGATGATAAAGTTGGTAGACAAAAGAAACTGGCACTGGTAGATGCTGGCACAGGCAAACCAGACAAGGATTCCTGAATATACCCCTGTTTTGCCCGAAGGGGCTTCATCAGCTGTGCGTAGTTCTAAATCATATAAACATAGACACTTTGTAATATAATAGCTACACAAATTCCAAAGAAACATACAAAGATATAATAAATGCACATACCGGTACTGTATATAACAGCTACATGGAACTTATTTGTAATAGGTTCGTAATAGGGGTTTTTTAATATATAAAACAAATGAACAAACAAATTAAAAGGCCCTCATTACTTTCTTTTGTGCTCCTCTTTTGTCAAAATAGTGGGAAGTTAAGGACAACTTGTATATAGCACATTTCCTGAAGGAGAGAGTGCTGAAGACATGACCACATTCCCACCATACATTTAAAACCCTATGACACCATTTTAAACAGTCATAGCTTCCCCCAAAGAATTCTGGGAGATGTAGTTGTTAAGAGTTCTGAGAGTTGCTAGGAGACCCCATTCCGCTCACCAAGTAACAGTTTGCAGTCAATCCTTCTTCACAGGGAGTTTTGGTAATTGTAGCTCTGTTAAGGGGCGGGAATGAGGGTCTACTAACAACTCTCAGCATGTTTAACAAACTACAGCTCCCAGAATTCTTTGGGGGAAGCCATGACTTTCTAAAGAGGCATCATACCGCTTAAAATGTATAGTGTGGCTCTGGGCTGACTTTGTAACCAGGCTCCACTGAAAATACACACACACTTTATATAGAGTCATTTTCATAGATATCGTGGTGTTTGTTAATTATAGTGATTTTTTACTGGGGACATATGAGGCAGCAGAGGGTTTAAGTCATTTTCCCCCCCTTCATTTTTGCAAACAGCTTTGCCGCCGCCACTTAGAAACAGAAGGAGCTGCCTTGTGCCAGTTCAGGTCATCTGGCTCACTATCGTCACCACTGATCAGCAACAGATCCCAGGGTTTCAGGCAAGAGTCTTTTCCAGCCCAAGCTGGAGATGCTGGGGTTTGAGGCTAGGACCTTTTGCATGCAAAGCAGTTGAACTACAGCATTTCCCCCAAACAGCCTCAAGTGGAGAAAATCCTCCAGTGAGTAGCCCATCCTGTTCTTTAACTATAAAATTTCCCATTTGGAACAATAAAGGTAAAGGGACCCCTGACCATGAGGTCCAGTCGCGGACAACTCTGGGTTTGCGGCGCTCATCTCGCTTTATTGGCTGAGGGAGCCGGCGTACAGCTTCCAGGTCATGTGGCCAGCATGACTAAGCAGCTTCTGGCCAACCAGAGCAGCGCACAGAAACACTGTTTACCTTCCCACCAGAGCGGTACCTATTTATCTACTTGCACTTTGATGTGCTTTCGAACTGCTAGGGTGGCAGGAGCAGGGACCGAGCAACGGGAGCTCACCCCATCGCGAGGATTCGAATCGCCATCCTTCTGATCGGCAAGCCCTAGGCTCTGTAGTTTAACTCACAGCACCACCCGCGTCCCTATTTGGAACACTACTACCCCATAATTTAGAATTGTTCCCAGAAGAATTGTAGGGGGCAGGAATCTGGCTGCTGCCACTGCCCGATTTTGATTTTTTAAAAAATCAGATCAATGGAGAAATGGAATGGAACAGAATTGTGGGTAAAAACATGCCAAAGTGATACAGACCGGCAATAGATTTGGCCTTCAGGCATTCAGTCACATCCACATCATATGTTTAAAGCACTCTTATACCACTTTATGAGTCACGGTTACCCCCTCCCAATAGAATCTTGGAAGTTGTAGTTTGTGAAGGATCTCAGCACCCTTAACAACCTACAGTTCCCAGGATCCTTTGAGGGGAGCCATGGCTCTTAAAGTGGTACAGGAGTGCTTTGAATGTGTGGTGTGGAGTGACCTCAAACCTACTGTGGCTTGCATTTCCTCCTTGCGTGCTTCTCACGCATCATGCAGAGGAGGAACTAATTTATCTCTCTTGTGGTAAAGGCAAGGCCTTTATATACCCCTGGATCAGACTTGCTGTAGGGAGCCTTGGCTGGCTGGCATTGTATGTTACAGGGTCTACCCTGGAAGCAAGCTCATTCTCTAGCATTTCAGGTGGCATTTAGAATATTGGTAGAAACCATATTCATAAATTCATGAATTAGTTAGGCTGGAATATTTATTTTAAAAACTGACACCCTTTGCTTCCCTGCGTAGCTCTGAGCTACACCTGAGGCAAGATCTAACTGAGTCCCCAATTCAAACTTTCTCTCGCTAGCATGGCAGCTGTTGAAAATGGCTTCGACACGGTCAGGACTCCATGTGGCTACAAGAATGTTTGAATTCTCTTTCCCACATAGGGAGAAGCTGCATTGGCACGGACACCTTCCCACACAATCTGGCAGATCCATGGGGGAAGGAGATTCAAATGTTCTCTTCTCACAGCTACACGGAGCCCAACGACATGGAAGTTATTTTCAGAACAGCTTCACTGCTGAGAAAATATTCAAACAGGCCCTGACAATGACTAAAGTAAAACTAAAAAGTTTGGCTGGTGCCTTTGTTATACGTAGATCATCTTCCTTAAATATGATTTTTTAAAAATCCTACTGTACTATCTGAGAATTCTGATGTGCTGCTCATTTTTTGAAGCATTTTTACCCTAGCCAAAAAATGTTCTCATACTGTCAGGATGCTGTCATTGGCTCCCAGCTGGTTGCCAGGAAAGACAAGGAAAAGTTTCTTACAGTCCTTTTTTATTTCAATCTTTACAGAGAGAGGGTGTAGAATCCTGCCTCTTGGATAATGGCATTGTCCCGAGTTAATCTCCACCTCCCGTCTCTCCCACTTCCTCATTTGTCATTCTCATAATCTCCTGTACGGGTGGTGCTATGTGCCCTCTGTTTTTGAGCTCTTTGCTTTCCTACTTTCAAGGCTCGCCAGGTTCTTTGAGATGGAGGGTCTGGAATGCTTTCTAATGACAACATGTCAGCCGGGTGTTGTTCTGGGTTTCCCATAGTTTCCCAACTTTCCCCCTCATCTGCCTCTGAGCTGCCACCTCCCCCAACCCCCTCTTGTAAATCTACACTGTCTTCCTGCTCCCTGGAATGGTCAGGGTGGGGAGGTGGTCTCCACCATTCCTCCTCTGCCCAGTCCCTGACTCATACAGCTGACAAAGATGAATGATGAGACAGCCCGTCCTCATGCTTACAATCTGAGAGGCATGTCATAAAAGGAAAGGGCATCTGGAGGGAAGAGGGAAAGAGCAACCTCAGACAACTTAGTTCTTGAGACGGCAGTTTAGGAGGTGATTAATACATTAATTGTAGTAGTAGTAATCATAGTTACAGAACAACCAGCTTGGATGGAAGCAGTTGAAAGAGACAAGCACTGCTTTCCATCTTTCCCTCTGTTGTGGCTTGATGGAAGGAATACTGTGTGTCAGCTGTTAGAGGGAGAAGGTTGATGGAACTGGTACCCTAGAGGTACCATTGGAGCAACACTGTTTCCCTCTTCTCCATCTTTTACAGCCTGGTGGAATGGCTACACCTGATGACAGTTCACAGCGAGAGGAGTCTGACTTCTCAGCAATGCAGATAATGACCCCGCTTCTCAACTTTCAACGTTGGGTTCTAGACTGCCATAGTAGACATTTGAAAAGAATTCCACATCTAGACACTGATAAGGAGGAAGAGGATCCCACTAACTGTTATTCCCTGCATGCATCTTCCATATACTTTAGTACTACACGTGGCTGGGTTTGCTATAGACGATTTAGTCTCAAAAATGCAGCTCTGCTGTTTATTTGCTTTGAACCAGAGGTGGTTGTTTTTTTCTTTCTTGTAAAGCCGTATCCTTAAAATGAACTCTCTGTGACTTGGGCAGACGATACTAACATTTGGAAACCATGAAAATGAATTCTACTCACATATGGCTTTAAATCCTTTCTCAGTTGCCTCTCAAATATAGAAATGCTTAATGGAAGAGAGAAAAAGAGTGAGTGAGTGAGAGGCAGGAGGCTTGAGAGAATTTCTGGCAATAGAATTCATGCTGTGCCAGTAAGTTGTTGTTTGAAACACATATGAAGAGCCTAAACCCTTATGAGTGCTGTAGTGGTATTAAAAAAATAAAATAAAGCATCCCCTGGTCACAGACTCATCATCGAATTGACGCAATTTGAAAGGAAAAGAAGAATGGGGAGGGAAGCAAAAGGTACAGTGGCTAGTCCACCCCCTTAGCTAATGGGAAGGGACAGTCAGAGGGAAGGAGATGGGAAGGCTGCTGTTCTGCATTTATCAATCAATTGATTCAGTTGCGGTGACTCACATCACAAATATTTGGAGCTGGGAACAGCAGGTTAAAACCGGACAAGCCGTCTCATGCACCAAAATGCAATGGAGGCTAAGCAAACCTTTGACCTCCTCTGTAAAATATTAAAGCTCTCTTTAGGGCCTGGGTGGATGACGAGACAAGGAGCCGAGCTGAAGTTCTTGCATTACGTCTACTGTTCTTCCAACTTCTGGAGAAAAAATGACTCCACCCACTCATCTTATTCTGCTGCTGTATCACACATAGGAGACACAACTTTGGTTCTGAAATTCTGCTACTCTTGTTTAAGCAGCCACAATCCCTACTGAAACTGTTGGCTTGCAGCTGAGGTTACTGCGGTGGCTGGTGTTTTTCATTTGTGTACTTTGAGAAAATCGATGTATAAAACAAAAGGCATCTCTTTAAAGATTAATGGGTACTTAAGAGATGACAGTGATTGCCTTTATTTTATATATCAGTAGTGTGTGTGTGTGTGTGTGTGTGTGTTTTCTAAGTGGCTACAGTTAGGATTTTAATCCCCAGGAAAATGGATATTAACAATAAAGGGCTTGAATTCAGAAATCCTGAAAAAGTCAGGAAAGGTACCAGTATTTGCATCATCCAATGGGCGCCTGGGTCAGGGGGGTCATCTAAGGATAGAAAAAGTGACTCACACACTGTCCAACATTTTAGGATGGGAAAGCAGGACACACACACACACCCCATTCAATCTGCACACTCTTTCTCCCCACCCACCCTTCCCAATCTCCATGCTCTTTTTGCCACCATCTACCACCCAATCCCTGCACCAGCATCCACTGACCATCAACGGCAATCTGAGGATGCTTGTGTGCTCACACCAGAGCTTCATGACTAAGGCTGTAATCCTAACCCTAGCTATCTCGGAGGAAGCCACCTTGAATTCAGTAGGACTTACTTCTGAGTGCACAAAGTTTGGATTGCACTGTAAGTGGGGATTGGAATCCGTACATCCTTGGTTCAAGTCAGATGCCCTGCCCACTAAAGAACAAAGGCTGCTTAGGCTCCCAATTTCCCCCACAGCTTGTCAAGCTATCAAGAACACACCCACTGTAGATTTATCTCAGCATCAGCTGGATGGCAGAGTTTAGCAGATAGAGAACTGGATATTTATAGTGAAGATACACTCCAAAAATATCCCAAATCCAAAAATATCATGGATTGACACCAGTCTGTCTCAACCAGCCAGCACCATCCATCACATACTGACGTGGTAGATATACAGAGCTGTCAGTGTCAATGAAGAAGATTAAAAGAACCCCGCCAGGTCAGATCCTGTTCTCACAGTGGTTGACTAGATGACTATGGGATGCCTGCAATTATGACGTCAGCACAGCAGCACTGGCCCGACTTTGTGATTACTGGCAACTGGTATTCAGAGGAACCAGGTGAAGACCATCCTATGCACCCAGGTGTGTGTAATCTGGGCCATTCTGTTTTTAAGACAGTGCTTTAATTTGGGGGCGGGCGAGTGGCTTTTGTTTTCATTGTTGCAGACACACTGCTTTATGGTTTTTATATCTTAGGCCCCATCTGCACTGTACACTTAAAGCAGTATCCTATCACTATATAATATTAACTAATTAACTAATTAATCACTTTACAATATTATTAATTAAATTAATTAAATTTGTATACCACCCTTCATCCGCAGATCTCGGGGCAGTTCAGTTCACAATTTAAAATATTAACACAAAGTGGTACAAAACCTTCTCAGGCCAACTTCCGGATCTGCCTTCTGCCTTCGCTCCAAGCATGCAGGTCTTTCTTAAGTAGCCTCAGAGACAGTGGGGATGTTACTACCCCAATTCTGAACAGAGATCGACGAAATCCCCAATAATATTGGGAGCCAAGGAGCATGCGTTGCAGCAGCAGAATTCTATGTATGTCTACATAATAGTACATACTGTTCAATTCAGTGGGAGTTACTCCAAGGTAAGAATGTATAGGATTGGAACCTCCATCTCTCTAGTTACTGCATTCACTCTTTTCTAGTGGCCGCATGACCCACTTTAAACAGCCATGGCTGCCCCAAAGAATCCTGGGAAACTGTCGTTTGTTATGGGTTCCAAGAGTTGCTAGGAAACCTCTGTTTCCCTCACTGAGCCATAGTTCTCAGTAGTTTAACCACCAATCCCTCTTCCTTAGGGAACTCGGGGATTGTAGCTCTGTGAGGTGAATATGGTGCAAAGGAGGCTTTGTATTCAAGTGGTTTCCTTGTTGTTTCGTTGTCCTTGTAGTTATTGGCAGAACAGTGCCATTAAGCAAACAAAGTAAAGGTACCCCTGACCGTTAGGTCCAGTTGCAGACGACTCTGGGGTTGCGCGCTCATCTCGCTCTATAGACTGAGGGAGCCGACGTTTGTCCACAGACAGCTTCCGGGTCATGTGGCCAGCATGACTAAGTCACTTCTGGCGAACCAGAGCAGCACACGGAAACGCCGTTTACCTTCCTGCCCGAGTGGTACCTATTTATCTACTTGCACTTTGACGTGCTTTCGAACTGCTAGGTGGGCAGGAGCTGGGACCAAACAACGGGACTCACCCCGTTGCAGGGATTCGAACCACCGACCTTCTGATCGGCGAGCCCTAGGCTCTGTGGTTTAGACCACAGCGCCACCCACGTCCCTTGTTGTTTCATTGTCCTTGTAGTTATTGGCAGAACAGTGCCATTAAACAAACAAACGAAGCCTTAAAACTGCTTCTGCATAAGTCATCCTGCAGCAATCCCCCAGAATGCCACATCAGTGCATCATTGCTTGTCAGAGAGTAACTTCCACATCCCCGTAGTCTTTGGACTGCTAAAGTCTGGCAATCTTCTCTGCTGAATGCACCTGGTAGTGCAGGGACTGTCATGACTAATTGTTCTGCTCAGTGGCTGCTTGCACAGCATCAGACACTGCCCTTTTGAGACCCAGCAGTGAATGTAGTCATAGGTTACCCTGTCTTTTCAGATCTGCACCAGACTTGAGAAATCTTCTGTGAGAGGTTCTCTCTTCCCAGATTTTTGCATGGAGGCAGGCAACGAAGGCAAGCTGAAACAAGTGGACTGTTTCAGACATTAGTAGACCTCAGTGTGTGCACAGATACATTTTCTGAATGATTGTCACCTCTCCCAATCATACTTTAAAAAAAAAATGACTCCAAGAGCAGAGGGCTTTCTTTGCTGCTTGTAAAAATTAAATGTGTTTTGTTTTGGAAAAGATATAAATGGCCAGAGAACACATAACTGTGTGTTATGAAATTTGCTTTTGTACGTGACATCAGTGGCGAGAATCCTGGTGGATAAATACTGGAAGGGTAACCAGGTACCGACCGAAGAGGAATGGCTATGTAAATTCTGTGAATATTTGGAACTGGCCAAATTGATGGATATAATAAAACTAAAGCCAATGAATACAGTCAAGAAGGAATGAAAGTGCACAAATGATTATTTAGAAAGACAAGGTTCTAATGTAAAATTTGGCTGTGTCTAGAATGACCTTGTGAATGAAAAAGGGGAAATATATATATACATATCTATATATTAAGATGAAAATAATACTGAAATACAGATAAAATATGAAATGTGAAAGGAAGTGTTGTGAGAGTGATGGAAGTCTATTATTACTATTATTTTGTAAAATATTTTTATTGTAAAATGTTTTTATGGTATTGAAACATTATACTTTTCTTTATTCTTTTACTGACTATTCTTTGCATTTCTTCTTTTTCTTCTCTATTTTTTCTTTCTTTATATAATTCTTTATGTATGGTTTGGTATTGATGTATTTACTTTGCAATAAAAATTTTAAAAAATAAAAAAGGAAAGAAATTTGCATTTGACGCACACATCAGCAGGGTCCTGATCCAAGGTATACTTCTTCGTTACCTTCAGGGGTCATAAGAACCCAGTGACTGTGTGCATGCAATCATAGGATCATAGAGTTGGGGTCATCTAGTCTAACCCCCGGCAATGCAGGTATCTTTTTGTCGAATGTGGGGATAGAACCTTAACGAAATACAGACCTGAGTCCAAACTAAGAGAATGAATTTTAGTAAGGACAAAAGCTAGCTTCTGCATTTAGGCAGGAATAATCAGATACACAAGCACGGGGTGGTGGACACCTGGCTTGCCAGCAGTATATGTGAAAAGAATCTAGGGGTTTTAGTAGATGGCAAACTTAACACAAGACAACAGTGTGATGCAGCAGCAAAGAAAGCTAATGCAATTCGACAGCATCAACAGGAGTGTCCAGATCAAAGGAAATAATAGCACTCTATTCTGCACCGGTCAGACCCCACCTGGAGTCCTGTGTCCAGTTCTGGACACCACAGTTTAAGAAGAATATTGACAAGCTAGAACATGTGCAGAGGACAGAGACCAAGATGATCAAGGGTCTGGAAAGCATGTGTTATAAGGAACAACTGAGGGAATTTGAGTATGTTTTGCCTAGAGAAGAGAAGACAGAGAGGTGATAGGATGACCAGCTTCAAATATTGGAAGGGACAGAGCTTGTATTCTGGTGCTCCAGAGGGTAGAACCTGAACCACTGGATTCAAAAGACAAGAATGAATATTCTAACTAAACAGTAGGAAGAAGTTTCTGATGGTAAGAGCTGTTTGACTGTGGAACAGACCGCCTTACAAGGTGATGGACTTTGATTGGATATCTTTAAACAGAGGTTGGATGGCTATCTGTTGGAGATTGTTTAGCTTTGATTTCTGCAGGGGGTTGGAGTAGATGGCTCTTGAGGTTTCTTCCAACTCTACAATTCTGTTATTCTATCATGGGGGTAGCCAGGATTTATGTTGGGGTGGGTCACGAAGAGTCGGACATGACTAAACAACAACAAGGAATTTCATTCAGGATGAGATATCAGGATTGATACCTCTGGCAAGGTTTGCCCAAACATGCTTCTAGGGTTCATGAAAGACCATCTCAAAAGAGTTATTTATTTATTTGCAATATTTTTATACTGCTTTTCAAATGGACCTCAGAAATCAGTTTACCTAAGAGGCCAGGTCCTAGTCTGAGTTTCTGTTCTAACCACTGTAATACACTACCAATTTGGGAACTGCCATGCAGTATACCCAAAACTTTGCAGTCTTTCATTCCATGCCCCCAAATATGCCAATGGACCTATCAGGAAACCACCAAACAACAATGAATGCAGGACTTCAGGCTTCCCACTTCTTCGAGTGGCTATGGAATTTGTGTCATGCAGTAAGACAGGTTAGAAATATACAAGCTTCTGGGACTTTGGGAACAATTATTAATTTGTATGCTACCTGTTAGCTGTCTGTGGTCCTGCAGGTCTTGTCTCTGCCTTGACTCTTCCTGTTCCTGCATCTTGCTTCAGGGCTTCATCTCCCAGATGATTGGTTACATTATGGGTAGTCAACGTGGTGCCCTCTATATGTTTTGGACTTCAGCTCTCATCAGTCCCAGCCAATATGGGCAATGGACAGGAAGGATGGAAGCTGAAGTCTGCAATAACTGCAGGACACCACGTTGGCTAACCTTGGGCTAGAATGCACTTAAGAGCTGTGTTTGCCCTCTGCTCCATGTGATCTGTGGTTATACTCAGCCCATTCCTCCAATAATTTTCTATAGCACCCTTCATCCAAAGATCACAAGATGCTTTACAAAATAAAAACACAAAAATGCATAACATAGTAACAAGCAAAAACAATAATATTCACACAGAGAATTTAAAGGGCCATAGATGGTTTAATTATCCAAGACCTGGGAGATGAGGAATATTTTGCCTGGTGCCTAAAGACATGTAAGGGGGAAAGCATTCCACAAACAGGAAGCCACAGCAGAAAAGGCCCATTCTCATGTTGCCACCCTCCAGACCTCTTACAGAAGAGGCACGTGAAGAAGGGCCTCAGACTGTGATCGCAGGGTTCTGTGATTCATAGGTTCTGTGTCGGTAGGATGTTATCTCTGAGGATTTTCAGACTCCCCAAGTGATAACTGAAAAACTCACATCACTTCAGTTTGCCAGGGAACAGGATCGCACAAAGATAAGCCAGCACTGTATTCCTACGATTTTTATAACTTGCAATAGACTTGGAAACTTTGAAGCTTTAATTGCAGTCATCCTGAAAATTGCAGGCATGTTTCCCCTGAAGTGGCTCTTGATTATCACAAGTCAGCCTTACAAGTTTTTGGATTTCATGCATGTTGCAACATACTGTTACTTTATGCAAAATATTGCAATAGTTTGGATTGCAATATGATATCGATGTTTTGCAACATTCGTATTATGTGTAAGCATTTTTACCCAGGGTTTGGTCTTTCTCTTTTTTGTATATAATGTTCGGTTAGTGTGTGTATGCTTTTTTCACTGCACTGAACTATTTTCAGAAGGATAACTTTAAAGAGAATTCACATTTTTTGCCAGCTTCTGCTTCCATGGGGCCCAATAAAAAGCTATTAAATTCCAAGGGAACGTTGCTGCCCTCTTCAATATAAGTGGGTTGTATCTTAAATGTTCTTCACCTACCTCTGCATGTCCTTCATTCTGCCATTGCCTTCTGCAAATGGTTCTTTGCTCTCCTTTATCTTGAAGTTTCTTAGAGGCTAGCAATTCCAAATGAAAAAAACCATGGGGAAATGATGGCTGGCAGCCATACAATCTGAAGTGCTTCCTCTGTTCCTTTAAAGGAGGTTGCTCTAGAATTTAAAGGTAGATGACAACAATGGAAAGGAAAGTGTCCATTTTGTTTGCATTTAGAAAAGCCAGAGGCAAAATCAAAAACAACCGGCTGTACATAAAATTCCCAGCTCCCTATTTCTCACGCTGTTTGATGAAGAGAATCGTTGAAGTTTGCTTCTTCGATTGTTCAGCACATTCGCATACGCAGCCTCACTGGGATTGTAACCGTGGTTCATTTTTGCAGCTAAGTTGTAAGCCTATAATAACAATAACAACAACAATAAAATGACTATCCAGCTGGCTGTCATAACCTGTCAAATCACTGGCTGGAGAATATGAGCTGACAATGTTCATTTAGCCAGGGAATAACTGCATTCCAAAGAGATATAAATGGATATGTAATCCGTTTAGACCAATTCAGTTATTATGATAGACATGGAAAGATGATCAAGAAAAGCTGTTCCCCTGTCTCCTAAATGTTCTTTTGGTGAAGGTCAGATTTCAAAACTGTGGTCAAGGTTGAGAGATCAAGCTACATTCACTTATGGGTCAGACGCTCATACAGCCTTTCCAAAGACCAAAGGAAGAATAGCCTCCATGGGCTTTGCTAATGCTCAAGCAAACCTGGTGTCCTTTGACCTACTGTGGCAAATATACATCAAGATACTCAGTGAAGATTATATTCTTTAAACATTGTTGCTAATTTGTTGCATGCTAACAAAGAACAACATGCATATTCGGATCATCCTGGGTAAGAACATGATGGGGAAGGGCCATAGTGCATGTATATTTCATGCAAATGATTCCAGGTTCAATTCTTTGTATGCAAATGATTCCAGGTTCAATTCTTTGTATCTCCAGGTAGGACTGGGAATGCTTCCTGACTGATACCCTGGAAAGCCACTGTCAGTCATTGCAGACAACCCTGAGCTAGTTGGATCAAGGGTCTGACTCAGTAGAAGACAACTTCTTGTGTTCCTTCATTTCACCTTCCTGGATCATATCAAGGTCACCTTTTGCTTGTTTTGTTTTGTTTTGTTTATTTGTATTCTGGCTTTCCACCCAGTCATGTCCCAAGCAGCTTACAGTAATCAATCAGATCCCCCTGGAAGCTCAAGAGCAGGACATGGAGTGGTATTCATAGAATCATAGAATTGTAGAGTTGGAAGAGACCTCGAGGGTCATCTAGTCCAACCCCCTGCAATGCAGGACTATAGAGACAGCCCGTCAGGATATCAAACTCGTGACCTTTGCGTTATGAGCACCACGCTCCAATCAACTGAGCTAACTGTATTAATGAGAGTAGACCTGCTGAAATAATAGACCACAGTCATGTTCATTCATTTCAATGGGTCTCCTCTGAGCAAAACTTAGTTGAATACGGCCCAAGATACCCATTCCCTGTTGCTTTGTCCCCAGTGTCTGGTACTCAGAGATATTTTGCCTCTGAGCAGAAAAGGCCATTGGCTGTATTTTTGGTATGTGTTGCAGAAAAGGTGGTAAATGTCATTCATCAAATCTTAAGTGAATATTTCCCCATGGGCATGATGCAAAATGTCAGTTGTCCAGTAATCTAGAATAGCTGTGAATAGCTGTGAAATGATCTATCAGGAGTATTTTTATTTTATTTTATTTTATTTTTAAAGGAGAAAAATAAGAAAGAAAACCAAGTTAGAAAAATAGCAGCTTTTAGATCAAATAAAAACTTTGGGAGTAGCAACAGAAGCAGACCAGGGATATGGCTGATTAGATTATTTGAGGAAGCAAATAAATTTCAAGGGAGTAAATAAGCTGGAAAGATTGTATAATTATTTAAGGCAGAAATATTTTGAAACTGTGGATGAATGCACCTAACAGGTTCAAAAATGTGAATTCCCTTTTATTTGAAAAAGAAAATAAAAGCCTGAGATACCATAATTATCAGATTAGTTCTTTTTAAAAAATCTCCAGTCAGTCACACTTAGATTACATTT